TTAGTGACGAGAAATATTCGTAGTTCGCTGTTACTAGCGGCACTGAAACTGATTCACCTGCGACTCACGGGAAGAACACGCGCCAGCCTGCCGACGTCAACAGTGTACCGGCCGAGCACGCAGTGCAAGCAAGGCCGTTACCGCATAAATTGAAGACCCGGTACTATAAATGATTCACTGTGCAAAAAAACGCGATGTGTAATCTCATTACGACCTGTAACGTCTGTCTGAAACGTTTTTCAGTGTCGCGCGTTAGTTATTTAATGAATCAATGTAGCGCGAATCGCTCTGCAACAATACAAATCTTACAAATATCTGTAACGAAACGGAACACTTCGCGTCAAATATTTAAAAACTTTAATGCGAAGAATAACACTCAACGTTCTCGCCAGTAGTGACACCAACAAGCTTTTCTTCAAACAGGCCAAGGACTTTTCTTCAGTTATAAATGTTACTATAAAAATTACACAGCTTTGAAACCTGTTATGTGCTTAATGGAATATCGGACAAATTCAGAAACCTTCGTTTAGCGCTCTCTCTCGTTCTCGATTTGTATAAATGAGCGTCCGTTCTCTACTTATGCTCAATATTCACTGCCCGAGTTCATGTTGTTGTTTTGCCAACTCAAGTGAAATTTTGGTGCATATATTCAAAGACTATGTTGTCATGGAAATCATTTTACAACAGCTGCAACAGATACAGAAACTGTCCAGCTATTTTTCAACATATTCGCCACCGGAATTGAGACATTTGTCATACCGTGGGACCAACTTTTGAATACCTGTGTCGTAGAAGTCTGCCGCCTGGGATTGCAACCACTGTGTGACAACCATCTCCGCCTCTCTGTCATTCTCAAAAGCTGACGCTGACTGGACAGGAATTTCTTGAGGTGTAGGAAAAGATGGAAATCACTGGGAGCGAGGTCCGGGCTGTAGGGTGAATGATTAAACACCTCCCACCTGAACTCCTGCAGGAGACTTGCTGTCCGTCGAGCCGTGCGCGGCCTAGCGTTATCACTGACCGCACTTCACAGTCGGCGGGAGCTGGAATAAGAACCTCCATCTTCAACAGCTGTAACGATGCTACTATGAGAACGCGGGAAGTGCCGTTAGTGCATGCGCCATGCTACGTCATTGCTCTATCACGTACGCACAGTCGCTTCGCTCAATATAAGGTTTGCTAGCTGTGGGAGGAGTGGGAAACTTACTTTTGGGACGCGCCTCGTACGTTACGGGTTTTAGTACTCATTTCTGCCGCAAGAGTGGACAAGACGAAAAATCTGTAAGATACTTCCAAAAAAACAAAGGTTTCCTAACGTTTAGGCCTTTGTACTCCTGATAACAAAATACTAAACAGACATAGCACATAATATTCGTCTACAACAGAATGTTAGATGCAACAGACAAAAATGAAGTCTAGATGCCGAGACGCAAAATCGTAAAGAACACATTTGGAAATTGTGCTGCATACTCAAAACCTGAGTAGCTAAACTTTTAAACTATTCATTCTTCCTAGAATGACACAAAATCGATTAATAGTCTTATTTTTATCGAGCACGATAAGTCAAAAGTGTCTAATCTACGGTATGAGAGTATTTTCTCTTGGCTTATCTTTATAAGTAACATGCATGCCCACTAATACTCTCTCACAATTATAAAATAAAATATGTCTGTCGGAGAATGCAGTTTCACAATACGATTTACGATTTGCATGCAATGACACTAAACTGTTACGCCACTGGCATTTATGTCAAATGATGTATCGCACGTCCAGAAACAACGAGCACGCAAAACAGCCACAAAACATTTCCGACCACAAACATTCCTACCACACGTTCTCAACTCTTCGTCTGTGCGAATTTTTGGAGTATTAACATAAAAATAAAACCACTTAACATCGACTGCGTTCAGACTTGGTGTCCAGATGTTTAATTATATAATGTTGTGCCACTCGTGAATACGTTTTGATTGGTTTGGCAATCAGATCACATAACCTTTTTTTAAGTCAATGCAAAGTATAACTCTACGGGGAAGAGCCCTCGAGAAGCAGTAGTCGGTAAAGAAATTCGCCGATTTTAGAGACCATAAGGTTCTGTATCGCTATTCACACAGCACCTCGCTACTGGTCGCGATCCTACGACAGTACTACATATACAGTGCATGTGGTACATAGAAGCACAGCAGATTAATAATACGTACTTACAAGTTACAATTCATAACAGCACCGTCTCCTGCCACTACATCGCAGGAGATTTTTTCCTTCAACCTCATGAAAAGTATAACAAAAGATTAATAATCTAAAATTTGGTACATAAATAGTTGAAGTCCGTTATAATATTTATACTCCCATTACTTTTACGAAATACAAAACGAGACTACGTGTTGGCTAGCAAATAAAAGTTATTTCTGAAGCCCTCGTAACAAGCGTCAACATGTGTCGAACGATTTCTTTATAATCATCTCCTAAAGATAAGGATAATTCTTTACACAGCGCTCAAACCAACAGGTGGGAACTAATGAAACGAAAATCAACGTCTGTTTCATGTTCCTGACAATCTGATCCCGACATAACCCATTACAACCTCGTTTTAAATGTTATATTGCCTATGGATTTCGTCCAGAGACATGTTTATTTAGTAGCTTATTATTTATAGTTAATTTTACGTCCCTCCCAGTGGCTCAAGACTCCACAAAATCGAATAATATAATAAAATATTTATTGCAATGGATACGGAAGGAAGCGGTCGTGGCCTAATTTAATGTACAGTTATTGTATTCGCTTGGCGGGATTGTCAAAAACCACGAAAAACCTGTGTCGAAAAACTGTATCCCGGCCGATTATATGAACTCATAACCTCCCGAATACGAACTAGTATTGATAACCGCGTTTTCATGAGACAGATTTGAAAGTATTTAAACCATATACAAATTTTAGATGCTACTGTATTAAGCGTATCTTTCCACAAAAACTACAAATGTAAATCCATTTGTTCCGAAAGAAACACTTGACATAAGTTGTAAATATTAATAATGTGAAAAGTAAGTTAACAAGATTCAATCCAGCTGAACCTGATGACTCATAATGTTAACCTACGCCATGATAAAATTTTTGAACATAAGTGTTATTAATTTTTACATCAATGTTTGATTGGGAAGTTTAAGACTATAACTGCATATAAAGGTCTATTCAAAGTCACAAGCACTGCTGGCGATATAAAAATTCAGCTAACTGGAAGCAGAAAAGCAATTACTAAAAGGCATTTCTCTACAGACGCTCCCAGACCGTCACGTTTGTCTGCATACTTCCATCTGACAACGCGAAGTTCCCATGGCCGCAAGTAAAAGTTTGTCCTTACCTTGATGCTGTCGTAGCAGGCGGTGACACGCCCGTTCTGCACCTCCACGTTGGCCGGAGGGTGAGCGAACTTGCACTCGGTGTCGGGTCGGGTGCACTTGTTTCGCTGGAACTCTCGGCAAACCTCGAGCTGCAGCCAGCGAGAGTCCTTCCCGTTAAGCAAGTTGTTCATGTTGACCATGGCCATACTGGTGCCTACTGCCGCCGTAGTTTGGGGTAAGGGGGAACTTGGAGGGTTGGGGGGCGCAGGAGGGGGCGTATTGCTCACTAGGCCTCCGGGAAACAGAATGACGAAAGTTGAAGCGTCGATGTTGTCGAATAAAATATGAATCCTATGAATTGAGAATGGTGTGTCTTCGTTTATTTTACTTTATATGGAGGGACAAACTGTTTCCTTGTTAATTGAATTACAGGACCCGCAACAGTTTTAGTAGAACGGAGATGGAGGTGACTTCTTTGTCGGTCGATGTTACGATGTTCTTCAGTACATACACAAAAAATATATATATTTATTTATACAAGTGCGTGTCAATACATACAAACACGCAGGTTATATTTCATTAATATAGTTCATTAAAAGTTCTTTCTTCTCTTAAAAATCACACACTTTTAAAACCGATGCTGCAAAACTGGCATGTATTTCTGCACTCAGTGCTTCTTAACTTGTTGATTGCATCAACTAGTAAATGTTTAAATATGCTCAATATTTATAGACAGTAATTCTCTGCACTTGGAACGAGTTTTATATATATATTTTCTTAATATGAATGGCAAATGAAGACTAGTAACGAATAAAATATTAAGGTTAATATACTATTAATATCACTGGACCATAAAATATCACCTTATTCCCAAGAGACCACCGCCAGTTGGACAGAGGAGTCCCTGATTTCTTGCAGTTCCTGCACAATCGTAGAAAACTACTTTGGTTCGCAATATCTATATACTGTGATCTCCCCCTTCTTGGAAGGAGCTAGACACTAGTTATGGATATAATGTTACACATATTCTATAAATTCATGTGGAGGTTCAAGACTATGTGCTGTTCTAATGCAGTGCCTGGCGGTCTTCAGACTACAGGATTCGTTATGCAGTTAGGGGACAGGATTAGTTTGCGTGGGCCCAGACCTTAAAATTCGTGAAGAATATCTTGACTTTTCTTTACGAATGTTACTTGAAAACAGTTTCTGATAAACGCCAAATACGGAGTCTTTTAACAGTTCTAAGTAGGCAGTTCAGAGCTTCACGTTTCTGAAACTTCGGTTTTCAGAGCACGTTCAACAGTGAATCAGTCTTCTTTCAGTGTATGTCAGGGACTGAAGATGGGTTTCGGCACACACAATTAAGACGCACACAGAAAGATGATGGATGAGACAAGCAGTAAGCGAATGTATGTGCTGAATGAATTGCAGCCCAGAAGCGAAGTAGTCTATGATTAAGTTTGAACAAAGCAACACGCAGTGGCGCCTTCCGAAAGGTAAGGGGGCGGGGAACAGGCAGATGTAAGCTAGCGCATGATTGGCTGGCCGGATGGATCAAGCAGGCTGCCCGGTGTAGCTCTCTCCAAGGGTTAAAGGTCTGCAAAAAAAATGGAAAACAGCCATGTTTAAACTGCCGAACTATTTTATAAACAAAGCTTTATAATGTTGGCTATGTACGGGCGAAAGCACGCCGTACCCCATTTGCAAGCAGCAGAATTAATGCACATGGACAAGGGTTTCCACTCCTAGCCCATAATAATAGTTACAAAACACAGTTACGTTTATCTAACAAATTACACATGAATCTAGAAAATTTGCGCTCATATTTCTCGACTATGAAGCAGAATGACACCAAGGGCAGTGAAAAGTGAAACACGTAGGTCATCGTATTACGTTACTTGTACCAGCAAGGCAATGAAAACATTAGTCACTTTCCAGACTTGTTGCAGGACAGCTCAATCGCGTATGCGTGCAGTGGGCCTACATAAAAGTTGGAAACCGGTAACCCTTGCACATTACAAGAAATCTCTGCAATCTGGCAGTTAATTACGAGCATTTGAAACGCACATACGTGACCCATATGATAAGTAAAAGTCACTAACCACGCCAAAACGTGCTCTCGAAAGCACGGTACTCAGTTTCAAATACATGACGTGGACATTTTAAATACGAATTTCCTTCAATAAACAGGAGCTGAGGTTCTCACGAAAGCAACAAAGAATATGGCTGTCTTCTGTGTTGTGCCGTTCAGTCTGGTCAGGGTGATCGCCATCGCCCTGATGATGGACGCAGAAAGGACTAACTTCTACCAGACTACACAGCGCTACAACCCAAAAGACAGCCATATTTCCTTCCGTCCACGTCACCTACACCCATCCATCTGTAGTGCTTACTCTACGGATCTGAATCAATTATTCAGCATGTTAGTTATATGATGCTAATAGACAGATTGCATCCAAAGAAGAAAAGCTACACAATGCACACAAATACAACACAATGCTCTACACTAATCCTGACAATAAAGCACTATTAGGTCTACTACAAACCCCTGGGATGTCACAATCCCTGGTCGCACCTGCGTGTGACATAGCAACAGATAGAATGTCCAGGAGCACCCTGGTAGTGCGACAGGATTTGCAAGCAAAACGTGGTGACGCGCTTGGCCAACACGTGACCATCACCCAAAGCTGTTTCCAGCGGACGGCACACACAATTGGGGATCACCAAATCCCAGTTTGGACACTCCTCAATAAGCATGTTATTGGCTTCCAAATAAAAACCAGTTTCTTCAGCTATTAAGAAACACATTAGGCCCATCTGTGAATCCATTCAGCACACTGTCTGGCTAGCTGTAGCACAGCACATATTATAGTAATTCAGTTGTTGGATAAATACGTCGCCTTTCATTATAGGAATACGCTAATTATGGCCACAGATCTGTAATGAAAGTAGTCTTGTGTCAGAAGAAGTCACAATCGGCTGAATGATAAATGCATTAGAGGAATCTGTGATCTATGATGAACAATCTTAAATTACCGAAAAACAGCTTCCTCGCTTAACGGAAATTGTGACCATTTGAATATACAGACACTAATACAGTCTGGGAATAACATCAACGAATTTCAGGAAGTAAGCACAAAAACTAAACTGTCGTTTATTTCATTCAATCCATATTATTTGTTACAAACCAAACTGTGAGGGGTGTAGGCAAATGAAGGCAATAATCCAACGATATTTTCTTATTCCGTTATAAATAACTGGTTCGGCTTCATTTATTCATATGTTAGTGTTGCAAATTCCCTGGCATTCTGACTGTAGTTAGCGGAACATTCACTTCCCACTATTTACGCTTACGTTCGTTTATCTTCACACAGGAATATAGAGACACGAAGGGGAAGTATTATACCAAGGTCTCCTACAAACAAACATACACCGATTGTTCTAATTCGTATTTGTTTAACGTCCAACAATAAAATTTGCTCGTTACAGTAGGTCAAATTACTAAATACATCTGGTGACAAACTGTAGACAACAAGAAAACCTGGATTTTGATGTAATGAAATGGTCGTTTTCTGCAAATTTTAGGCAAATATAGATCATTCGACACTCCTGATACAAAAAATAACGATTCTGAACCACACACACAAAACGCACTATTTAAAACCAATATTTTACTCAAAATTAAACACAGGCTTAACTTTAAAGGCAGGCTGTAATCGACAGGCCTGCTCGGGAAAGATTCATTTGTGGATGTGCTATCCGAATATGAACATTAAACTGCGATGTGAGGAACATTATTTCTGACTACGATATTCAGGTAAGCTGCATCCAAAATGTACAAAGTACGCACAAGAAAATACTATGCAGGGCTACTCAACAATATTGCAGTACTGTAACCTACTTACAAATAAGAACTTCCAGTCTAAACAAAAATTGTTTTATATCAGTTGAGCCAAGTAATGTTCCCTTGCATCACCTTGACTACGATAACGTATTAGCCTAATAATATTAAAAAAACATCCTAATTTAATCTCATCCGCCGCTACAATTTTCTAATAAAGATCAAATCTCAGTATAAAGGTCCCTGGTAGGTGACAGTCGATCAACCCACACCCTCGCTTCTTTCACAAAATATCTGAACGAATTAATCACTGTCACAAACCTTTAGAGAATCACGTATGTTATTGGAATTTAATAACTTATTACTTTCTGGTTATTGTTTTAGCCCGTTATTATTGTACACGGTGATCGAAGTCACGGAAACCATTCCTGACACATGTTCTATTTGGGGGGGGGGGGGGGGGGGGTAAACTCGTTCCGAGGAGAGGTTTTTCTCAGGAACGTTAGTGGACAGCGTCACAAGGTTTGACAGATATCGTCCAAACATCGTTACTTTAAATCGAAAGAAGACAAAACGAATTCTGTCCTGCACACTTGCTAACGGAAATGGCTGACCAAACGACATACTGTCAATTTATTTGGCACACAAGAATAAGGAAATTTAGTCGCAAGTAGGAACGAGGTGCCACGTTATGTTCGGCAATGAACACTCGTTGCACTTGTGAAAAAGACATCCCTCCGCTACAACTGTTCAAAGTCAACTGACGGAATCACGCGAGCTAAGCCAACAACTTGGCGGGGGGCTCTTCTACAGCCTCAGTGATGCTGTGTGTTAGTCAGTCCACTTGAAGAATATTGAATTACAATCATCAACAAATATCTTAATATGGGTTGCGTGGCTGTTTGGTCAGCTTGTATGCAACATGGCACTTCCCATGGGCACATGGCATTTGTCATTAATACTTTCGTCTGTTGTGTGTGAGACCAACCAACCCTTGCAAACTGCACTGACCAAAAATCCGTACGACCTCGTAAGTAACGCTATTGTAAAACCGACTTGAGATACGACACATCAATCAAGTCTCGAAATTCACATTTAAAATCTAACTGTATATAGATTCTAAAAAAATTGCCGTCTGGGATACTTGATTTCACGGCACAGAGGACGATTATCTCCTGAGTTTTGGCGCCGAGCAAACTCGTCGGAAGAATAAATCGTTTCGGAGAAACATAGTTACCATCTTCAGGGCTGTGAATGGTCGATCCATGAAGATATTAATCCAATGTGACTGCAGATATCTCTACATCAACATAGGCCTACCTAGTGTTTCACTTTTTGAAAGAATTAATATTTGTTTCCGGATGACAAATCAAGAATTAATCGAATTTTCAACTTATGGCTATTGTCACATCGCCATAAAACGTATCTTAACAAAGGGTATTGACTACGGTAAGTTAAAATAAACAAGTGTGCAATGGTCTTTTGTGGCATGACATTCATATCAAATTTAATTAAATCCGTCAACAAGTCTATCTGTCCTGACAAAATAAGTAAAGAGGCTGCCTCTGCGAACAAAGAAGCATTCGCCAGCCCTACATGCCTGTTCAGCATTATTAGACAATTTTTTTCGTAAACGTATTTGATTATACTTCTATATTTTCATTATTTTATACCAGAGCACTTAGCAGACAGCCAACATCAGGTGCGAAATGTTTACTTTCGAAGCGGGCATTTCGGGTTTGTGCGAGTACTCCCTGGGTGCGAGAACCTGCTGACTCAGCAATACAACAGAGCAATCTTTACAATGTCTTGTGCTGCTGGCGCCACAATGACCTGTTTCCACGAGCATACTCAAAGGCAACTACCGATTGCAATCCGTAATTCAAAGCGCAAGAGTGGATGAATGGCCCGTAAGAAAATCTTTCACATGAAAAAAAAAAAAGAATTTAAGTTTCCAACTCGAATTACAAAATGAGTTTGTGTGTTACACAGGGTGGTCCAAGATGTATCTACGTTTAAATTCAACTTCCTCAACAACTAGTGATGAAATCTGAAGAAACTTTGTTGGAACACTGAAGTACTACGTCATTTGTTTGTCACTTGTCTTCGTTCGATTTTGTACAGTACCGATCAGCGGATATTCATCATCGAAGGGTCCATTCGAACATCTGAAGAACGCTTCCGTTAAAGTAAGGTGTCAAAGCTTGACCGGACAGGCATACAATTTCAAATTTCGTCAGTTTTGGACGATTACTCTCACAGCAGCAGGCCTTCAACTGCGAGGACTGAGACCAATCTTCAAACAGTTCGAGGGCAAATATACTGAAAACATCGAAACAGAAAATGGTTCAAGATGCTGACTTTAATGATATTTGTATGAGATTTTTATGCAGATATGAAGATGGCTGTCTTCAGGGTTGTAGCGCCGTGTAGTGTGGTAGGCTTCTACCAACGTTTCAAAGGTTCTTACTGCTAGCATCACTAAGGCGATGAGCCATCGCCTTCTAGTTCTGTTGAACACATTGAGGACACATATGACGTTCCACCCGCCAAAATACTTTTAGAATGAGATCATAATAACTGACACATGTATACACTGAAAGAGTTAGGCTCAGTAATAAAGCAATGTCCATATTTCTACTTTCTAAAGGCAATAATTGTTCTTTTCCTTCTTCAAGAAGTTGGCCCTCTAGCCTGTTATTTCTTCAAGAGAATTCTAATTCTTACTGCCATTTTATTTTCGGCCTTCCTACATC